ACTATGCTCGAAGTTGTTGACGAATACGTTTACCTGGGACAAATAGTCCGACTAGGTAAGTCCAACTTCGACCGAGAGGTCAATCGACGGATTCAACTCGGCTGGGCAGCGTTCGGGAAATTACGGCATATCTTTTCGTCAGGTATACCTCAATCTCTAAAAACTAGATTATACAACCAGTGCGTGTTGCCAGTGATGACTTACGGATCTGAGACGTGGTCCTTCACTGCTGGCCGTATGAGGACGCTTAAGGTCGCTCAGCAAGCTATGGAGAGGGCTATGCTCGGAGTTTCTCTGCGTGATAGACTCAGAAATGAGGATATCCGCAGTAAAACCAGAGTGACCGACATAGCCCAACGGATTAGTAAGCTGAAGTGGCAATGGGCCGGCCATATAGCTCGAAGAACCGATAACCGATGGGGAAGAAAGGTTCTCGAGTGGCAGCCTCGTACCGGTAGGCGTAGTGTAGGGCGACCCCCCACTAGATGGAGTGACGACCTGGTAAGACATGCAGGAAGTCGATGGATGCAGGTGGCTCAGGACCGTGCTTTGTGGCATTACTTGGGGGAGGCCTATGTTCAGCAGTGGACTTGTGAAGGGCTGTAATGATGATGAATGATGAATATATAATATATCAGTTTAGTGTTCAGTTAGCTGTCTAGCTGAGATGACAATGACACTGTTATCTGTTAAATTATATGCGTAATGTTTTGATAGCAGGTCCCCATATTACGTCAAAAAGCTATTGTTGTTTTTGTTTATTTTTCGTTAAACAAAACGCGAACACAGCCGACGACTGAACTGAACTAACCGCGTGTACAATGTAATATTTAAAACTGTTATAATATATTATAACAGTTTAAAACAACAGTTAGAAAAATATATTACAACAAGATAACGAATTAGAAAAATGTAACAGTTTCGCCCATCTTTAGTCACCCCTGTTGGCATCGAGCCGAGCTAGGGAGCAGACGGCGGGGCCGGGCTGCACCCGGCCCACCGCTAGGGCGCGCTCCTAGCAAGGCACGCGGCGCCTGCGCCGATGACGTTCTCCGGTCGCATTATAGGGGTCGCGAGAGTTTTTGCGCGAAGCCGGGTTGTTCATATATTGAAAGTCTCCTTGTTTTGTCTTAGACTTATGTCAATAGAGCGTGCCATTTGAACTTAAAGACAATTAATTGGACAATAAATAATAAGTGACAAATCTTGCCGTGGAGCGTGGAACTGAGTAGTTGCGCGTCTTGTTAATATAATTGCCGTACGGCCGCCCTGACGTATATACTGCGCGAACCTGAGTTTATTGCGACGCGGTTTAGTGATACAGTATTTTTCACAAATAGTGAGTTCGTTATAACGCGGGTTCGGTTAAATCTGGTTGAATTTGATTGGATTAACCTAAGTAACTTGAATTAATATCAAAGAAAAAGAAATACTGCATAAATAAAATAGATAAATAATTATAATTGCATAAGTTGATAGAAAATGCTATGCAATAGCTTTACCGCGGCAGTCCCCGAGTGCCACACGTTTTTTTTTTATTTTGTTTAGATAATTCGATATTCTTCTTTTTTATTTCTTTGACTGTAGTTTTAAATGCGACTACGCTTTCGAGTATATCATCAAGTTTTCTAGAATTGAATTCCATAGACTCTGCAAACTGGCCCAATTGACGTTGAATAGCACACTCCACTTTTGTTGATATTTCTAGCAGCAATTTTTTACCATGTAATGGAACATATACTGAGTTTATAGGCGATCCAAATGCTTCATCATCATCATCTTCAGGTATCACAATCGAAGTTCGTCTAGATGATGTGTTTTTGCATTCAGAGCACGACCAGTCTAGGTTTTCATTTGCCCGAAGCGCATTCCACTGTTTAGTGGTAAGCCCTGAGCATTCTGTACTCAGATGCACCATCTTCTCACAACGATGACACTCCACACCAGGACGAGCCTTTGTAATATTTTTGTTGCATTTTTCACACTTCGAAATAATGCTGTTAGACACAAAATTATTTGCCGCAACCAAACGTCCGATCGACATGAGCGAGCGAGGCCGAAAGTTACAGTTATAGTACTCTGTGATTGTCATATTCAGATGGCATATGTGTGTGTTGTGTGTGTAGTATTAGGTTTGATAATTTTAATTTAGCCAAAATATATATTCCCAATTTTTCTTCATATTTTTTAAAATATAAAATACAATCGTTGCAAATTTGATGAGTAATATTTAATTAAAAAGAAAAATAGTTAACGAATAAAGCGCTGACACTTAAGGCTACAGTCTTTTAAAGTTGACTCACATCGAATCATTAGCGCCACTTTGATTTCTTTTTTTACAGCAAATTATTGTTTCAGAGTAAAATATTTTGATAACACATAAATACCCAGATTATAAGTAATGGCTAAATTTTTTTTTTGGTTCATCTATGTGGTCTATGTTAGATAAATCAAACGGTAAATAGAGCTCTCTCGCACCCAACGCAATTTCGAGCTTTGTTCGTGTACCATTATAAGGCAATCGATAATAAAAAGGCGAAATCTATTCAGCGCGTTAATAGCTAAACATCTTCATCTCCAAAATGCGCTGTTTCTTTTTTTCTAAATATCTTTCATTGTCTTAAATAAGAGGTCTCAATTTCGTTAAATTTCGCTGTTTTCGCCTCAGAAAAATCTATTTGTTTCATAGCAATAGCTGAAAATATTTATGCTATAATTATTTTTTTCTCAAGGGCAGGTGTTTAATTAGACAAATATTAAAAAATAATAATTTAAACCACTTTATTTCAAAATTAATAATTATTTCGATCGACCTATAAAATATTGACTTTATAAACAATAATTGCGGGCAATATTCCTTAGTAGCCGCTGAGCGGCTGTAGCGTTCAGACGTCTTGTCTGTGCCAAATTTTTGCACTTCCTCTCGCTCTAACATTCCTCTTTCTCTCTCTTTCCCTAATCTTGGTTGCGCATTGTTACGAATTGAAAGTTGCTCTACTTTATTATTTTTTGCATATAATTCTTTAAGGGTTTATAAATCATTTTGTATTTGTTTTATAACTTTTAATTTCGATATGGACCATAAACGTAAAAAATATGCTTGTACCAGAAAACGAAAATTGAAATCAAACGTTGAAGCAATGAACAGAAATAGAATTCAAAGGTAAGTTTTTTTGTGTTTCATAGTAAAATAGTTAACACCCTCCATACATCATTCAAGCCATTGCGAATAAATTAAAAAAAAAGCGCTAAGTCGTCCGTCGATGCTGCTGTACAAGAATAGTAATTCATGCATATAGGTAAATGCTATACAAAGTTACATTATACTTTAATGAGAAACTATAAATATGTGTGATAGTGGACTGTTTGTACTTATATAGAAATTATTTTGAGTTTTTTTTTAATCTATTTTAGTATTTAGAACTACTTGACGTACTTGACGGATTTTCGATAGTGTCATCGACTTATTACGAAACCCTCAGTGCACGACTCATTCTAGCACTTGCCAGATTCATTTGAATAATCAATAATACGAGTACATGTTATACAGGTTCTAGATGATTATCTTTTAGAAACCTTTTCAACAAAACAACAAAAATTATACAAACTTAAAATATTTTTTTTGTGTAACGAATTTTGTAATAAAAGCATGGAACAAAAATAGATACGAGGTAGAAAATCTGTATGTGAAAATTTGTTAGCTAATTATCAATAATCCTGTATATTAGATAAATTGATACTGGAAAATCTTAGTAGAGCAACTTTCCACGCTACGGCCAGAAAGATAACTGCGGTGGCGGTACATGAAGTGGCGGGGCAGGGAGGGTGTAGATGTGTCACCAGAACGCAATTTTTCTGTTTTGCTCTGAAAGACTGGGCTCTTAAAAGTTGAATTGCGGAAAATTTAGACAACAGCAGAAATTTCAAGTATTAGGTAAATAAATTTCGAAGCACCAACTTTTGAATTCCTGTTTATTCTAAAATTTTGTTTTGAGCAGTATAGCATCTTTCTCGTTTGCATTGTTCGTCAGATGTTTAACAAATTTCTAATTATTCACAAACATTTTAAAGGATGATTCACGCTACAACGTGGCGCGGCCGGGCCGTGCCCCGGCCGGGACACGTCCACCGTGCGCTGTCCGGGCCAGTCATTCATGTTACACCGGGCTGTTTGCACGACCGTGGCTTATGCACGACTCTGTGTTATGTGATTTTTGTCAGCTAGTGATTTCATCTGTCGATAGACTTCACGCTTACGTAAATATGCAATTTCCACAATTTTAATTGGCAGCCATTGCAATTGCCATCGATGATGAAGTATTGGAAAAACGAAGCGAAACTACTAAAAGAAGATGGGGTATACATCCAACCTCGAGAAAACGAGAAGCAGAAGGAGAATTTGCTTTACTTTATAAAAAATTAATAGATGATGAGAGCAAGTTTTATGGTTATTTTAGAATGTCTAAAGAATGCTTTACTTTTTTACTTGAAAAAGTAAAACCAGACCTAACCAAAAAAATTACAAGATTTCAAAAGCCTATATCTCCCATCGAACGATTAGCAGTCTGCATCAGGTAAATAATAAATTGATATGCACTAAATCACATAGTATTTAAAAATTGACCCGTCTCACAACCATCTATCAGAGCTTGTTGTAAGATGGGTCTATTTTTTTTAAATACTTCATTTTCAATTTTTCAATAATCAAAATTGCATTGTGAATGAAAAAAAGTAAAAATTTAAATAATTCGCATAGTGCCATGAACTCTGAAAATAAAGTAGACAAATTATTAGATTCCAAAAAGAAGTAAGTTCCGAAGGCGAAGGTTCCGAAGGCGTGGGTTCCGTAGGCATTGATTCCGGTGTTGGCGTTGGTGTAGTCATCGGAACCGGTGCATACACCGACCTTGAATTAGTAGACGACGCCGACGTTGTTCCACTCATTGGAGATGTGTAAGAAGAAGGCTCTGATGATAATTGCTCCCACTCTAAATCTTGTACTACTGCAAATATTCTTCCTTTTGCAAGATGCTGATAGTAAGGGGAAAACATTTTATGATGGCTTCCAAACCGTTGAAGAAAGCATCAATAGGATGAATGTCTTGTGTGTTGGACTTTTTTTTATTTTTTAGAATGTATTCCACTAATGCGCTTGACGCAGAGGACTGGGATTGTGGCACTATACGACGGCGATTGTGTGCAGTTGCAACGGTTGCATTGCGATTGCGGTTGCCGGAACGAGTGAATTGTGCAGTTGACGGGGGATATGTATTCGGATCAGCAGGTGGCGTAAAATTTGGTTCACTAATAGCTGGTGAGCGATCTTCCTGCTGCTGCTGTTCATCGGTGTTAATTGTTTCGTTGGGCGTAGTAACTGGCGAAGTAACCGTTTCGTTTTGCGTCTCTTCGTTCTCAGACTGGATACTTGTTATTGTATTTCGATCCTGTATATGAGGCATTAAAAAATTCAAGCTCTCTTCATATTTATATTTTTATAGCCACAGCACCCTGTCCACTCTTGGTTTTACGTTTGTTTCTATGTTTTTTGAACTGGTCCCGTATGTTTGCCCACCTTTTTTTACATACATCATCTGCAAAAAGATAGTATAGAATGAACAAGTTAAGTAATTTTCTTTACAACCTGTATAAATGGTACTGTTAATACGTAATAGCTCACTGTAGTACACAGATACCGCGAAATTATACCATTATTATTTTTTCAGGTTCCTGGCTACTGGGGATTCGTTTAAAACTATTTGGTACAGTTTTCGATTGGGGCATCCAACTGTGACCGAAATTGTACATAGCACATGTCGATCTATCGTTAAAAGATTTAAGAAAGACGTTATACCAGAACCAACAGAAGAAATGTGGCGTAAAATTGCCGAAGATTTTGAAAACCTCAGAGGTTTTCCAAATTATATAGGCGCATTGGATGGAAAACATTTTGTTATTGAAGCCCCAGCCAGTAGTGGTTCTATATATTTTAATTATAAACACACATTCTCAATTGTTTTATTGGCGTTAGTGGACGCATGCTACAAATTTATTGTAGTTGATGTTGGCGCTTACGGACGAAACAGTGATGGTGGCATTTTTGCACAATGTAATCTTGGAAAACGTTTAGAAAATGGGACGCTTCATGTACCTATTGGTAAAAATTTACCCGGTTCCTCTACGTTTGCACCATATGTAATAGTTGGTGATGAAGCGTTTCCTTTGAAAACATACCTAATGCGACCGTATCCAGGACACCAAGCAACAGGTGACGCTAATAAAACGAATTTCAATCATAGACTGTCTTTGGCCCGGCGACTAGTCGAAAATGCCTTTGGTATTTTTTGACACAAAGATTTAGAATATTTCAAAGAAGAATGAAACTTGCTCCAGAAAATGGTGATTACATTTATTCTATCTACATGCGTACTGTATAATTTTTTATGTGAACAAAAAGATTACATAGGGCTTATCAATCATAGTGCACAAAATGCGCAACCACATTTATTAAATCCATTGAGCGTTCAACCAGGAAGACCGGCTAATGATGCATTTGCGGTAACAGAAACGTTTAAAGAATATTTAGCGTCAACAGCGGGACGTAATTTTATAGGACAACAGTATCAAGAATAAATACATACTTACACTATTATATACTTCTTATAATTTACCTAACATATACTAAAATACCTACTAAAAACCGATAATCCCACTCACATGTACTTACATGTTGTCATAAAGTAATTAGTGACACTTGAATAACTATTATAAATGTAAATTGAAATAAAAGTTACAACTTACCAGATTGTTTTATTTGGTTTTCCAAATAATATTTTTGTATTTGTTATCTAAATACTTAGGATGGCTCATATCGTAAATCACAGGGTACTTGCGCACACATTCTAATAATTTTTCATCGTCCATTTTGCTGTTGAGCTGCTCACTTCACTAAGATTTGACGTTGACTGCTCTCCGGGCGCCCGGGCGCATATGTTCATGTTACAGCGTGTCGGGGCCGGACCGTGCCGGAGCCGGGAAACAATACCCACCGACATTTCAACGCCGTGCCCCGGCCGAGTCCTGGTGGCGTACGGCCGGGCGCACGGCCGGGCCACGGTCAGGCATGAATCGCTTCATACAAAAAAGTACACCATAATGTTTGACCGTGCCCCGGCCGGGGCACGGCCGGCCGCGCCACGTTGTAGCGTGAATCATCCTTAAGTCATAGTAGCTGTATCATAGTAGGTGCGCTAGTATCATCGAACGTCTTCATAACGCGCGAACACAGAATAAATAATAGTACTACATACAAAAATTGCACTCCTTTGATGTTCACTGCTTGCCAACGTTTAAAAGCTTACATAATTATTATTAATTAGATCGCAATAGAATTAAAGAAATCGCGCACGCGAAAATAAATAAAACTTTATCGCTCGGCGGGAGTGTCCATATTACTTTGCATCTTTTCACCTTCCTAGGTCACGGCGGACTTTCCGTGGTTACTAAGGGGTGATAATAAAGAGTAAAAAATACATCGCGAATGTTAATCAAGTAACTTAGGTGAAGTACCTATTTTGACTATGATCGACTGATCACATTTTCGCACCTATGTGAGTTCCGCAATGCCCAACTCATGCAACTTGCAAGGCCATTCGTCGGGAATCGCGCTGCTTTGCTTGGAAAAAACAACAAATAAATCTGAAATACGACTTTTAACAGAAATGTGATGCGTATTCTACTTAGTTAAAAATATCGTTAGTAAACAAAGTTTTAATTTCAGTATTTTGTGTTAATATAACTTAAAATATTTTAATTACAAAATACAAGTATTGGTATATAAGTAGATAATTAGAAAGTGAAGTAAATTACAACTATGTTTTGTAATAAAGTATGTGGGTATTACTTCTGTAGATAAATAATTACTTAATTCGTTTTTGCTATAAATTAAATTTACCTTTCACTACTTTCTACTAAAATCCTTCAGTAACTTAAAAAATGATATATCTGAAACCTATTGTTAGTCATTTAGCCTCTATCTACGCAACAGTTATAGTAGGAACGACTTTTTGCCATTACAATTGATCAAATAATGTGTACATAATATATATAATTTTTAAATTACATTAAAACTTTTCAACCACTATATCCTACAATTAAATATAGTTAATTATTACTACTATTTCAACAAGTATTAACACAAAAATATTTACGTGAACGGCGTTAAAAAGCTCTTTCCATCGCCTACAACGTATGTTATCCTGCTGCGTATGTTACCCTGGGTGCCTCGCGATTGTAGGTAATTATTTCACGCAGATAGCAATAGTGACAGCGGCCTGGCGCAAGCAATACAAGCTGGATGTCCGGGGGGTAAATTTGCTGACCAATACGTAGAAAATGCGAATAAAATTTAATTAATAGTGTGCGATGCGATTAATAGTTTAATTAATATTAGTTGGTCTGGATTTCAGTGCTGTGTTACCTGTTAGGCCGTTGCCTGATGCAATTTTTTTTTAAATTAGTGATACAAATTGAAAAGCGACTCAAAAAATAGCAACCAATTAAATTAATGTACTGAGCCACCTGCATCCATCTTCTTTCTGCATGTCTTACCAGGTTGTCGCTACTTCTAGTGGGAGGCCACCCTACACTTCGCCTACCGGTAGGAGGCTGCCACTTAAGAACCTTTCTTTCCCATCAGTTGTCAGTTCTGGAGCTTTACTGGGTGATTTTTTAGCATCTGGAAAAAAATGGGATGTAACAGGTGAACGGAATAGAAGCCTATGGCACTGATATTTTATAATTTTATTCACATTAACATATAATGAAATTAATCTATCAATAAATATTACTAATTTTGTGCGTATTATCTTAATTTCGATAGTTTTTAATTGATTAATTTGTTTAGTTTATTTTTTGTTTTTATTTTTTATTACCGAAAGTTTATTTTAGTGGTCTCTCGGTCGAATATAAATATCACTTTAAAGTATTCCACCATTTAATTAATGATTCACTTATGAAGTAATCGGAGTTATACCATATATTTAAATTATTGTTATATTTAAATTAAAATTGAAAAACTATTAAGTTTAACGACATTTTTACCAAAAAGTTCCCTGACTTCGAAATGTCTATTGATAAGGGCCTCCTCAAAAATTTCCCATTGTTACCGATCGAGTGTTTATAGTCCCCAGTACGGTCCAGTCGTATATTTATAACCATTTTCATATCTTCTATGATGCCCACCACTATCTCTTAGATATTAAATTTGTAAAAATATCTGTAATATACAGAATAAATTATATTCTATATATGTGAAAAGTATATTTTTAGTCCGTCCACTTTTTATTCAAAGTTAAATTTTTACTCTTCTGAGTGGACTAAAAAAATATGATGAGGTTAATGTAACAACCAGAATGTCGCTAGATAGTTACAATAAAAACTTCACCCCTAATGTTTCCACTCTTGAAGTGAAATGAATTGAAGAAAATTTGAATGAGACCCCCATAAAGTTATAATTTATATTTTTTTTGCCGTTTCCGAGATGTAAATGAAATACACAAGAAACACGCGTCGAATATTAAATCTTTGTCCGCCCGATCGGTGAAGTACTACGGTCTCACAGAATACCAGCATGATACTTAATTCATTTTACCTTTTTTATCTTGTTTGAAATAACTTTACCTCCACACGAAAATTTTTTACTGTATCGAGAAGGTAGTTTATATACATAAATTTCCAAAGGACAAACATACAGACCCAGAACACTTACATGTGTGTGCGGGATACAAATGCTCTTACCCACGCCACTGCGCCGTCACTCTCTTCTTTTCTGTGATGAGAAAAGAGAACCGAGGATCATCTTTACTGAGGTATTCTATCACAGCCTTAGTGGTGACAAAACATTTGCATTTTGATGAAGAAGTAGATGTCTATGGCCACAGAATCCACTTATCATTAAATGGAATGTATGCTAGTTTGTCACCCTTACGTAATAATACTTATTATGGTATAGCATATAAACAATACTTATTATACGCAACGGGTTAAATACATTTTCACGCAGAGCTAAGCTGTTAAATTTACGCGACACACTGAATAAAAATGATTTTACTTTAATATTTCTTCGGGTGCAAGGGCCACGACCGGGGGACCCTCACACCAACCACCGCGAAAAAAAATTAATCTTAATTTTTAACATCTTGAATGCAATGCACTTTCACAGAGTAACGCCAGATTCTATTAATTACTTACTCAGGTGAAAGGTTTCGTCTCAGTAGGTATCACCACACAAATAGCAGCAAGTACTTTGTTTTGTTTTGGATTGAAGGGTATAAAGAGCCAGTGTGACTACAAAGGTGACTACTCATTTGTAACGTACATTTTTTGCAGTTGACTACAGATGTTCATGGGCTGTTGAGGCAACTTACCACCGAGTGGATTGCGAGTTCATTTATCAATTAAA